CCAGCATCTTTGAGGCTTCACACCTCGTGGAAATTCAGACCGACGCCATCCTGCCTTCAGAGTGAGTTGGTTTGATTTAGCTTCCGACCTTATTCTGCCATCTGATTCCAATTGCATTGAATTATTAATGAATGTCCAAAGTGGAGCAAGTACACCTAAACTGTGTGCATATATCTTATTTGAGGCCATAAGTTAGTTTTTGTTCACATTTTGACGGATTAAAGCACATTTTACCCACTCCCTACCGAACAAGTAAGAAATAGTACGTAGTGAAGTAGGGCGAGATAGTTGATTTCATTTAGGAAATATTCGCCCTACACCCAGATTTCGCTACATATGTTGGATTTGAGGCAAAAGTATCAAACTTATTTTTGTTTATAAACAGAATTTTAGGACTCTCGCTGGCGGTCGACATAGGCGAGGTCGAAACTGCATTCCGCCCTGAATGAGAGTAACTTTTAGAAAAGCAGGGCTATGTGAAATTCAATGTAAACGTCAACTCCACTAATAACATTGTGAGAAAATTCAACTACCAGTCCTTTATCGCCTTAAACGAAATAGGGTGAATACATTTCATATGACTATTTTACTGGTAGTCACGAAAAAAAAGTTCAAGTATTTTTGGAGACACGGTTAGTTTAAACAGAATACGATGACCGATTCCCGTTCTGCAGCCGTTTGTCTTTACTACGAAGTTCCTATTGACACATTAAACGATACTCCACCCTTGTTTCGAAGTAAACCTTCGTGCATCATTTGATGAACATCATCAGAGCTGTAACTTATTCTTGTAAAAGTCTCAAATTAACACTTAGCTAAGAAGATCTATTGTATGGCTCTATCTTATGCCTCAACTTAAAACGAAGATATATGGACATATATAGATAGATAGATAGATAAATGGGCAATACTTTGCATATTTCTCTTTCATATTTGTTTGAATACTTTTACTTAAGTTTGTCTATGCCTGTGTGTGCATGTGTGTAGGTATTAACGTCTATTCGCAATACCGGTCCTAAATCATAGTGATAAAAAAAGCCGAATGTCAGGCTCTCATCATCAAGGCTTAATGACCCAAGAAAATGCCCTGACCGAGACTATGTTAGCCCGTAGGCAATCTTGTTGAGATAATGCGATATAAACTTGTAAGCGTTCAAGTCAAGTTACGAAGCCAACCGCCATAATCTCTCAGTCTACGGTCATTAAGGCTTAACTATTCAATGAAATTAAGGGCTGATATTACGTAAGCTTTGATGTGTGTTTTGGTTGATGAACTTAATTTACCTATTGGACAAGTGTGAGGTTAGAACGATCATTCAACTGACAAGGTTTAATCAAAACTAAGCTGTTTTTCGTATCTACACATTTTGATTAATCCTCAGCTCAGACTAGAGTTCCTCTGAGTCTGATTTTGGGTGTTTATGTCTAACCCACAAAATGATGGAATACGGGCAATGTTAATTACTTAATC